ACACGCTTTTTATAGGTTTTCGGATATGCTCTTTCCAATGGTGATATTTCCGAAATCCAAAAATAACGATTTCTGGGTTTTCGGAAGACCGGACCTCTAGAAAACCCATAAAAAATGTTTTTGGATTCTTTTTAGATCACCGTTGGAAAGAGCTTTTTCGAAAACCTATAAAAGCGTGTACGCCATTTTTTCATCGAACTGCATTCAATCTACGAAACCTCGGTCATTTTTGTTCTTTTTCTAGCGATTTTGGTGACTGTGACGTGGAGGGGCATTCTCGTAAATTGAATGCAGTTCGATGAAACAATGTCGTAGAGAGTTCGGCAACGTCTGGTTTTGTTCAGAAATGTTTGCTCTACATAAGTGGACTATTTACAAAACGTTTCCGCTGGTTTTTAATATTATCACGTGACGGTAAACGAGCTAATGCTTCGTTCGACATTCCGATACAACAATGTGTTATAATTAAATCAGTTGGTTTTCCCGTAGACATACTTTTTTCAAAATGAGAAAGTGAGTTGAGAATTGCAGTTGAAAAGTGAAACTTAATTGCGAAAAAAGTTTTGAATATATAATAGTATCTTGGATTTACATCAACTATCCCAATTAATAAAATATTGATTAAATTGTCAGCAACTCTATTTTAAATTTTTGCAACCGTTTGTTTTCAACAAATTATTACACTTCCCATATTGCTAACTTTTCGATAACAGTAAATTAAATAAATTGATTAAATTAACTTTATCTTAAACTTTTTACAACTATTTGTGACACAAAAAATTCAATGGAAAAACTGCAAATTTGTGCTCAACTTTCCTCGTACCTAATTTTCCTGGTGCCTGTATTTCCATTTGGAAAGCTAATCCAACATTTGGAAAATTAGGATCATTTGGGACTGATGGAAGCTTTCTATGTTGACGTAACACTCTAATGCGCCGTTTAATGTTATCACGCGATGATAAACGAGCTAATGCTTCGTCCGACATTCCGATACAACAATGTGTTATAATTAAATCAGGTGTTTCCTGTGTATTCATTGTACGATACCAAAGATCTTCATTAAAGTTTCGACGTTCAGCTGTAATACCATTATTTTTGCATGTATGATCAGAAGGTGGAGTTATAACATTATTGGTAATATTACATGTATGAAGACACTTATGACATTTTTGAGAATTCTAATATATACAACGCCAATATGTTTTATTTTCAGTAAATCCATCCTTCGTATACGAAAAAGCTTGGAGTTCCGATGTTTGTTTCGTTCTAATCGGATAAGTCCAATTTTTCTTGGATGATTTTAGCGAAACTTGTCGGCGAACGGCTCAAGCCAATACTCAAGTCAATACATGTAAAATGGTAGCACCTTGATTCTTTTTTCAATAGATGCGCCGTCGAAAGCTCTATAAAATCTGTATAAACAATTTCTATTGTAAAACAAAAACGTCTTCCAAACATTTTTATTATCATTTTATCTTTTTTTATTTCATCTTTTTCTCAGTACTGAACTTTGTTTTTTTTTATTGTATTGTATATTCAGGAGTTTTTCGTATTAAACAGATGTATATATATAGTACTAGACCTCTACTATACAGACATATAATCAAACTAAATTAATGTTGTGTAGTTTTAACACACGAGTCAAAATAAAAAGGTGGCGCGAGACTTATGACGTCTACTGTATATTACTAACTTGTCGACAATAGTTTATTAAACAAAATGATTAAATTAAGTTTATCTTAAAATTTTTACTACTCTTTATGATACGAAGAATTTAATGGAAAAACTATAAATTTCTGCTCAAGTTTCTTCATGCTCATCTTTCACTCACCCTTGTAACTGATGTATTTCTGGTATTTTATTTCTTGCCCCATCAGTATATTTCTAGTTTAATAATGTCCCTCATAATACGACATCACACAACTCTCCCCAAGCATGAAAAAATCAACTGGTAATGGGCGCTTCACCTAGCTGTACTAGATTATCTAATAGCTGCACTAACTGAATGAAATATGTAAAAATGGTGAAGCGGAATAACCAGCAATTGAACCAGTTGCACCCGCTTCATCACTAACTTCAACTGTTATTTCATCTAGTAGTTGACGTTGACCATATATACTACTAGATGAATTGCCCGTTACACCACTAGACTTCACTAGTTGCTATGGGTTAGAGGGTTTAAACATCAGTGTGACTAGCTGAATCTAGCAATCTATCGGGCGATGAGTCTGGTGGCTTTCCTAGCTAAGCAGACTGATAGATTGATCTAGCTGCTGGTCTTTGTTAAAAAACCATAACTGGCATTACCTAAATGCAGTAATGAATTGTACGATGCATCTAATGGGAGTAACTAGAAGCAGCTAGTTGAAAAGGCACTTGGCGTCATTGCTCACCGTAAAAAAACAATTGATTTGGGGCCTGAACTCATCTGCGTCTAGAGGACAAAATACCTCATAATTAGGTCCTTTTCGGCTTGAACTTGATATTATGTTATAGTTTAATAATGTGCTCGTACTCGCAGATCCCATCATTTACCTTTTCCTATTATCTTATTATGCTTTGATCTTTATCTGTAAGAATATTAAAAAATCCACTTGAGCCGTTCGCCGACAAGTTTCGCTAAAATCATTCAAGAAAAATTGGACTTATCCGATTAGAACGAAACAAACATCGGAACTC